CTTGGTGACCCAACTCCTCTCTTTACTTGTTGTGGTTCATATCTCAATTCAAATACGAAATAGGAACTAAAATCAATCAATCAGTCGATCGGCTTCAAGCAATGCTATGATTTGCCCGTGCAACATCAAAGATGCACCAGGCTCGTTGAGGAGATGAAGGGGTGACGTTGGGAGTGGTGAGGTCAATCAATCCCGTTTCAAAATCGTTTATTTGTTGTTTTTCTTATGTATAACTACATTCGATTTGGATTTTATAGTCATTCAGAATTGTGTATTATATTTAATCCCGTTTCAGAATTGCTTATATGCTGTTTATGTTATGTATAACTATATGGTTAATAATAGAAAACCACCAAATCGTGTTCATCTGATATATATATACAGTATATCTGAACATATATTTGGTGGGTGGACGATTTTCTTTTTTCGAATTGAAGATATCGATTAACCGTTTGAAATTTTGAATCGTGAATCCCTTAATTCTAGGTATCATATTTGGTATTTATTTATTTTTTTCGATNAGAGAGAAAATTAATAGCTGGTGCATGAAGTCATTTCGTATATATGAAAAAAAGACCTCATCAAAATCCAATTTTGATGAAAAGTTATTAAGAACGTATATATGTAAATATTTGCTATGGGGGCTCTACATATGTAAATTTCCCTAACTACACTAGCACACAAAATATAATAAGGCAAATAATAACACTTAGGCACAAAATAAAATTTAACACTTAGGCAAGAAAAGGCATAAAATTAAGCACACTTAGAAAATAATGAACACATGGGAAAAATAAATTAACATTTAGGCATATAATTCACATAGACAAAAAAATTAAATTAAACCATTTAGCACATAATTAAGCACACAAAATACAAATAGGCATATAATCAAGATAATCACATAAATTAACACTTAGGCAAGTAATTCAATTAAGCACAAATAGCACATAGGACAATTAAAACAAGAGCACATAAGAAGAACCTAGTTTTAAACTTAGTCGAGCGATGCAAATGCTATGATTTATTAAAAAGAAATGGGGCGTTACAATACTAATCTTTGACATAAGTGCTCACCGCGTTTATCTGACATAAGCATATCAAAGGACAACAATTTCTTACAATCTCTCTAGACGCTTAAGTTGCAACCCTGTCAAATCCAATAAATCAATTCCTCTGGGAAGTTAAACAAAAAAAGTAGCTAAAATCAATCATCGAAACTTCAGAACATTTGACATAAACACATGATTTGCAGCTAAAGTGAAGTCGGAGAGAAAGAGAGAAATTTAGTCATGTACCATTTTCCGAAGAATTCGATAGTAATGAGAGAATGGGTGAGCAAAGGAGATGAAAACGAGGATGACGTCGAAGGAGAGGGCGCACTTCAGTAGGTGGTGTACCACGAATGCTCCGATGGTCTCCACGCAGTCCTCTACCAAGATCATCTGCCCGCCTTTGCCATCGAGGGCCTCGTCCAGAAGGTTGGATGGCTGGGCAATCGTCGTTATTAGTAGCTCAATGCCAATTTGCTACTTGATTTGGCTTTTGAATTTGAAGACAAGGGTTTTGGGTCCTTCATAGTAGGGCATTTCTGGTCGCCTTTCTTTTGGCTCGTGAAGCTATGTTTTTTGTTAGTTTTATTAAGGAGTTTTTCCCACTAAATTTTCAAGCTCATTCTCAATTATGGAATCAATTCTTATTTTATTTATTTTTTTCTATTGTACTCCCAATGATACTAATTTGTTCCAGTTAACTCTCTTACACTATAAAAAAAATACATAAATCTATAAAAAGGTGACATCAATCCTTTACTATTAACTTTTCACAAATTTGTATTATTTTTCTTTTTCTCTTCCCCACCCAACCTCCCTCCCTGTCAACCCTCCACCTTCACCTTTTTCCCTCGTCGACTTCTTTTTTTCTTTTTCCTGCAGGTTCAGCTTTCCGGCGAATGACGTGCGTAAATATTTCGGCTACAAGAACTCCGACGAAAGACAGGAGGAACTCCGGCAAAGGACAAACGGCCCTTTGTGGCAAAATTTTGTCTATCTCCGACAAATTTAGCCGTTTTCCGACGAAAAAGGTGGTCATTGTACGCTATCTATTTACTGAGGACTGAAGAGTCTGAAACTAGTCTTTTATCCATAAATTTTTCCCCCTAAAATCTTGTTCTTTTTATCATTTTTTATTATTGTTCTTTAAATTCACACTAAAATAAATATGGTGACAATAATCGATTTGTTGTTGTTCATATCTACTATCAACCATTTATGTTAGGTTATGTCAGGTTATTTTTTCGCACAGATGATCATTCTACCATTGATGCATGATTATGGTACATCTGTTTGTGTAGTTTAGTACCTCTGTCATCAATATTTGATACCAGTTTGTGCTGAGAAATTTGAAGTTTCATTTTGTTCAACTCATTTAAAATTTTATATTATTGTTAGATACAATAGAAGGGGCACAAAACGAGTTATTAAGGAGTTGCTCTTACAATATTGAATTGTTTGTTTTTTCTATACACGTCGAATTGAGTCTGAAAGAAATATACACCCTTACTTCTAAGAGGTGGCCTGGTGTAAATTCACAATCTTTCATCTTATGTTATATTGCGCCAAATTCAAAAGCTGGCCTTAGATCTACTGATATATGAATATTTATTCATTGACATTAATAGCACCAATTCAACTATGTGGCCAAGGTCCATTCTAGTGGAACAGCAATTATAAATTCTTTCTTCCACCGAAAAATCTCGTACAACATATATATATATATATATATATATATATATATATATATATATGCATCCATTACGAGAAAAAAAGTAGGAGACCCATAAGCATAAAGTAAACAACTAGAAGATCCTAAACCCTCCCTTTAAAGTACATAGCAGTTCCTTAACTAAACGGACATTCATTCTTTACAACCAAATGAAATTCGAAAATGAAAGGGCTACTATTTATCCATAAAGAAAATCTTACCGTCTCTGCCTACTTGCAGAAAGCCAACCTAGATTTGGGAGAGGAGAGGAAGTGAGCCGCTAAAGCCGAGTGCTTCAGTTACAGAGGAGGAGGACGAGAGCTGATAACCATTCCGCTTGCAAAAGCTAATCCACATCGAACCTCCATAATAGCGAATAAATTCCTCTACGGCGATCAAAATGAAAAGGTCAATGTAACCTTCATTTTATAAACGAAGCAAAGCGAAGTGAAAGAAAAGAGAAGAAAGCACGCATACCCATAGGGAATCCGTGTTGGTCAAAAGCCCCCATAATAGCGGATAGAAAAGATTCTATTCCATCCATTACTTTGATGCAGATCTATATCATATCTCGAGTTCTTGGAAATCTTACCGAAAAAAAATTGGATTTTTCATTATTTAAATAACTCATAAAGCGCAAAAAATAACATCATCCCATGAACTTAAAAACGAATTTTACCTGTTCATGGAAAAATATTATATTTAGAAAAATATTTAAAATATAATGAATAATATCACTTCAACATCAAATCGAGCAACGCGGATGACATCCCCTCTATATATAATTTCAGAATGCGCTGAGCCTACGTGGCAAACTCTCATGCTTTGGAATCCTATTTGGCAAAAAATCATGGTATGGAGTTAGGTTTGGATATAAATTAATATTTGTATTAATTGTATTTTAATATCATTTTCTATTATAACCATTAAATTGTAAATATTTTTAAAAGTTGATAACTTTTGTATTTCTTATCAGTTTTATATATATAATATATTAAATTAATCATATTTTGATGAATTGTGATTTGACATCCATATTGTATATATAAAATAAATAAATTATATTTATCTTTATAATAATAATAATAATACGGGTTGATATTTTCATTTAATGTACGGGTATTTATTTATTATGATATTTATTTCAAATCTAATTAGTATGTTGTCAATGTAATAAAAATAAATAATTGTTTATATCCCCTCTACATATAATTTCAGAATGAGCTGAGCCTACGTGGCAAACTCTCATGCTTTGGAATCCTATTTGACAAAAAATCATGGTTTTGAGTTAGGTTTGGATATAAATTAATATTTGTATTAATTGTATTTTAATATCATTTCCTATTATAACCATTGAATTGCAAATATTTTTAAAAGTTGATAACTTTTGTATTTCTTATCGATTTTACATATATAATATATTAAATTAATCATATTTTGATTAATTTCGATTTGACATCCATATTGTATATATAAAATAAATAAATTATATTTATCTTTATAATTTATCTTCATAATAATAATAATACGGGTTAACATTTTCATTTAATGTACGGGTGTAAATTTATTATGATATTTATTTCAAATCTAATTAGTATGTTGTCAATGTAATAAAAATAAATAATTATTTATATAAATTTTAAAATTACATATAAAGTTAAAAAACTGTGAAACATGACTGATACGACCCTTGATGTATTAGACATCTAATTAAGTAAAAAAATTAATCTATTTTGCTTAGTATTAAATAAATATATTCTACACTATGCATATACATATCATCATACTATTTCTATTTATTTAAGATATAAATTTTTGTACTTATGTAATAGTAAATATTATCGATATTTTTATATGATATAAGTAAAAAAAATTCAACACGGGTTGATATTTTCATTTAATGTACAGGTTTTAAATAATTATGATTAAAAAAATATAATTTGACAATTTAATTAAAACCCAAAGTAATGTTTTATATAAAATTACATTATTTTAGTTTTTTTTTTTTAAAAAATTATCATTTTTTACAAAACCTTTTTAATTCAACACCCGTGTAATACACGGGTATTGTACTAGTATTAGTTTATTTATATACAAAGACGAAGCCATATGAGTTTATATTTAATATTTATAATAAATATATTTATATATATATATATTTATAATAAATATATTCTTATATAAACGAGCATTTCGATTTAAACTAGCGAACTCATTATTCTATGGAGGCTTTTTATTTTTCATCATAAATTTTTACTTTAACACCGTTGCTTCTTTCTCTCAGGCTCAGCAGCGAGACGTCCTAAATCCAAATTCTAAACCAGGAAAATTCGCCGACTAAAGGCTGTGATGTTGGTCAGCGTAGGATATCTTGTGACCTTTACCGTTGATCAGACTTTTTTGTTGCTCTGAAACTCCATTTCTCATGCTCACCATGAAAGAGGAATTCGTTATTGATTAATCGGAAAGCCCAGCGACAGGCGACTGTTACCGGTGGGTAAATGGATACGGCGATCGTTTTGGAAGACTTCGGTCAGAAAGTGGATTTGACGCGCAGGATCAGAGAGGTTCTTTTGAACTACCCGGAGGGCACTACCGTTCTCAAGGAGCTCATTCAGAACGCAGACGATGCAGGTGCCACCACTGTCCGCCTCTGCCTTGACCGGAGGAGGCACGGTGTTGACTCCCTACTGTCCAATAGCCTCGCCCAATGGCAGGGCCCCGCACTATTGGCCTACAACGATGCCGTTTTCACTGAGGAGGATTTCGTCAGTATTTCCCGGATTGGCGGCAGCTCTAAGCAGGACAAAGCTTGGAAAACGGGTCGCTTTGGGTAATTAAATTCATACCTTCTATCTTATTAGACGTTTTAGAATATGCTAATGTCCATTGTAATGTGTGTGTGGTATGGTGAGTTGTTTTTCGGGGTTGCCATTATTTATTTGTTAAGCACGTGCGTTAAATTGGCAATAGGTGCTTTGCTGCCTTAATTGAATGGATGTCTAACCTTCTTCGACAACTGCATTGTTCTGTTTGGATAGCCTCACATTTTTTGGAGGAGTACCTGTCCGTGTGCTGTTATATATTTATTATTTAATAAGCATTCGCACGAAAATATTAATGTATGTGTGCATTGGTATTATGACCTGTTCATGTTCAAAGAGAGAGGCTGCCAACCCTCACTTATACACAAACACCCCAGTAACTACTAGTCGATGTGGGACAAACATAACTCCTAACAGATCATAACGGACATTGATAATGATAGCACATGTTGTAAGCCTCATACATGTCGTGTGAATGTGTGAATGTGTGAGGCAGTGGTGTTGTTTGGTGATATGGTGTGAGGCAGTATTATCATTTGGTGATCATTTATGTTTGTCTATCATGTACTTTAGCAGTTGTTCATTGTGATACTTGCTAATTTTTCATATATCTTCTGGCGTGAACGTTTTTAGGTGAACATGTTCAACCATCAAAGAGTTTGGTTTTGCATTTTATTTGCTTCTCTGGACATGACTTCAATATTTCAAGAAGTTGCATAAGCTTGCTTATCTGACAGGAGCTTTATATACTTAAACTTCTTCATATTAAAATTCTTATTATTTGTGAAAAATGCTTGAAGATTCTCGTTGAATAAATAATCATTATAAACATTCATGTCAGGGTGAGTTATGGTTTTTATGCTGTGATGGAAATGCAAATAGCAAGCATGCATTATTATTATAATAAAATTATGATTATTATTACAATTTTGCAATTTTAGCTCACCACTCCATCAATTCTTATTTTTTAGGACAATTTTAATGATTTACATTGACTTCGTGTATCTACTTATGTATCAGGATTACCATTGTATTTGCCCTTGAGTTCACAACTTTACGTCTTACTGTAGATTAACATTCCTATTATTTTTGATTTTCTTTTGTTTCTTTCTTGTTTTTGTTTTTTTCCCCTACAATCGATTCAATCATTCATTTTATGTGCCAAATTACACATGCTTATTTTTAGTTACTTGTGATTGTGAAATTTGCATCTTGAATAGTTACAGAGTTCTGTTCATCCTCCGAACGTGATTTGATATTTGTTAATTTCACATCTGAACTGTTTTAATTTAGAAATGGACTTCTCTGATTCTCATATTTTTCTAGGGTGGGATTCAACTCGGTATACCATTTGACTGACTTACCTTCGTTTGTGAGCGGCAACCATGTTGTTCTATTTGATCCTCAAGGTGTTTATCTTCCAAACATCTCGCCTGCTAATCCTGGGAAGCGAATAGAGTATGTTAGTTCCTCAGCCATTTCAGTATACAAAGATCAATTCTTTCCGTATTGTGCTTTTGGTTGTGACATGAAAAGCACTTTCCCTGGAACTTTATTTCGTTTTCCTTTGAGGAATGCAGATCAGGCTGCGAACAGTATGCTTTCAAAGCAAACCTATGTTGAAGATGATGTATCTTCTATGTTTGTTCAGCTATATGAGGAAGGAATTCTCTCTCTACTTTTTCTTAAGTGTGTATTATCCATAGAAATGTATGTGTGGGATGTAGGGATGCCTGAGCCAAAGAAGATGTATTCCTGCTCTATTAGTTCCGTAAATGATGATGTATTGTGTCATCGCAAGGTACTTCAGAGACTTTCTAAATTGGAATGTGCTTCTGATTGCAAGATGGGTGCCTTCTCACTGGACTTCTTGAGTGAGGCTGTGATTGAAAATGTTTCACAAATACAGACCCATACGTTTTATGTAGTGCAAATGATGGCTTCAACGAGCAGTAGAATTGGTGCTTTTGCAGCTACAGGAGCAAAGGATTATGGCATGCATCTGCTGCCTTGGGCATCGGTTGCGGCCTGCATATCTGATGATTCCGTTAAGGCAATTTTCCAGCACTCAGTAGCACATATAGGATGATATTATTATAGTCCTCCATGCCTCAGTATGTTTTCATTATTTATGTTGATTTTTCAATATGGAAATATATGTGTAAATGTCTCTCCTTGCTCATTTAGAGTGCTTATACATCTGCATATACTAAATGCACTCAGGGATATGCATCTCTTGATGTTTTCTTTACTTACTTCCAGTGACAACATTCCTTGATGTCCTGAACTTTGTTCATGAATTTGAGTTTCAATCACCATCCCCTTTCTGTGGAAATAATGCAGGATTACATAGTTACTGATGGAGTTGAGTGGTGATGGTGAATATGGTTTTATTTTTATTTATTTTTTATTTATTTTTTCATTGAGACTATTATACTGTTTAAGAGAAATATAATTTCTGGAGATAACTAGGATTGGTTGAATGATTGTTGGGTTGAAAGCGTAACATTCCTTCAATAAATGCTTGTATTCGCATTGTTCTTGTATATTCTTCTTTGTAATGGTACTTTTAATGGGTCTAGACTTTAGAAGTTGAATGATGTACAACTGTTGAAATTTGATTCTTTTTCCCTGTGTGATCTTATGTCTGAGCTTTAGTTGATGAATAAATGCATGTGTTATATGCTTCTAGTTGTAGAATCTTACTGAAATTTTGTTGTGGAATCTGCCGTAACTGTTAGTATCACAATATATAGTGTGTTCATTTTTTTTTTTCTGTCATCTCAAGTATGGAATTCGTTCGACTATCTATAAATATTTAATTTATTCAATTTCTTGACAGGATGATGTTCTGACGCTTGGACGTGCATTCTGTTTTCTCCCGTTGCCTGTAAAAACTGGATTCAGAGTTCAAATTAATGGATACTTTGAGGTTTCTTCAAATCGTCGTGGCATTTGGTATGGTGATGACATGGATAGAACTGGAAAAATTCGTTCCATCTGGAACAGGCTGCTACTGGAAGATGTTGTAGCACCTAGTTTTGCTAAATTACTGCTCGACACACGGCAACTTCTATCTTCAACAAAAAAATATTATTCTTTGTGGCCTATTGGTTCATTTGAAGAGCCCTGGAAATTTTTAGTCGAACATATTTACAGGAGCATCTGTGATTGCCCTGTCTTATATTCAGACATTGATGGTGGAAAGTGGATTTCTCCCGAGGAAGCATTTCTTCATGACATGGAGATATGTGGAACTAAGGAAATTAAAGATGTTCTGGTCCAACTTGGAATGTCTATTGTTCCGTTGCCGAGTGACTTATTTAGTATGATCTTAAATTGCAAATCTGTCAGGCATAAAAAAGTTGTTACTCCTGATTCTGTACGTCATTATTTGAGAGATTGCAGAAATTTAAGTGCAGTTGGTAGACCCCATAAGTTCATGCTGTTGGAATATTGCCTTGAGGACTTGATTGATGCAGACGTCAGCATTCATGCATCTCACCTGTGTTTGCTTCCATTGGCAAATGGTGATTTTGGTTCATTTTCTGGACGCGCTGAAGGAATCACTTATTATATTTGCAATGATCTGGAATATGGTCTTCTGCAACGAATTTCAAATAGACTAATTGATAGGAGCATTCCTGTGAATCTACTAGACAGATTGACATCAATAGCAAATGCCTCAGGGGCAAACCTAGTCGTTTTTACTGTGAATGAGTTCACTCAATTATTTTCCAATTTTTTTCCAGCAGAATGGAAATATCAGACTATGGTTTTATGGAATCCAACTTCAAATTCTATGCATCCTACTTCATCTTGGTTCTTACTCTTTTGGCGTTACCTTTTGGAGCAATGTCAGGATTTATCTCTTTTTGGAGATTGGCCCATAATACCAGCCACTAGTGGTCATTTGTATAGGCCTTCTAGGCAGACCAAATTGCTAAATGTGGGCAAATTAACCGAGAGAATGCAGTGTATCCTTGGTAAGATAGGTTGCAAGATGCTAAACAACAACTATTGTGTTGAACACCCTGATTTAATTAATTTCGTGCATGATTCTGATGCTTCCGGTGTTTTGAATTCAATCTATGATGTGTCTTCCAGTGATAGTATTGCTCAGCTTCTTCAGCCTCTAGAAGCAAATGAAAGAGATGATCTTCGTCGATTTATTCTACATCCGGCATGGTTTCTAGGAATGCAAATGGATGATTCTCATATTCAGAATAGCAAGTGGCTTCCAATATATAAAGTATATGATGGAGAATCTACTGAGAACATCAATTATTCTGATTTGGTAAACCCTCGTAAATTCTTACCCCCATTTGGCTGCCCAGAGTGTTTGTTTTCTAGCGAATTCGTCCGTGATTTGTCAAACACTGAGGAAGAGTTGCTATTGAGATATTATGGTATTGAGCGGATGAAGAAGACACAGTTCTACAAGCTGCATGTGTTTAATAGGATAAAGCACTTGGAATCTGATGTTCGCAACATGGTCTTGCTTTCAGTTCTACAAGAACTACCACAATTATGTTTGGAGGATGCTTCGTTAATGGAATCCTTGAGAAACTTGGAATTTGTCCTCACCGTTAGTGGCACACTGAAGAGTCCGGCAGAGCTATATGATCCTAGAAATGAGGAATTATATGCCTTACTTGAAGATTGTGATAGTTTTCCATCTGGGATCTTCCAGGAATCCAGTGTCTTAGACATGTTACTAGGTTTGGGCCTCAAGACAACTGTATCTATTGATGCAGTCATACAAAGTGCGCGTCATGTGGAACACTTAATGCATGAAAATCAGGAAAAGGCTCATTCAAGAGGTACAATACTTTTATCATATCTGGAGGTAAATGCATTAAAGTGGCTGCCCGATTCACCAAAAGATGAACAAAGAATGCTGAATAGGATGTTCTCCAGAGTTCCAAATGCATTTAAATCCCGTCATTTCAAATCAGACTTGGAAAAGTTCTGGAATGAGCTCAGGCTGATTTCATGGTGCCCGGTCCTTGTCTCTCCTCCACACACATCATTACCATGGCCCATGGTCTCATCATTGGTTGCTCCTCCTAAGCTTGTTAGGCTATCCTCGGATGCATGGCTTGTTTCTGCAAGTATGCGGATACTGGATGGAGAATGCTCTTCTTCAGCTTTATCCCATCAACTTGGCTGGTCTAACCCACCAGGAGGAAGTGTAATTGCCGCCCAGCTGCTTGAGCTTGGGAAAAACAATGAGATTGTATTCGATCCCGTTCTCCGGCAGGAACTAGCTTTGGCAATGCCAAGAATATATGCTATCTTAATGGCATTGCTGGGTTCAGATGAAATTGATATTGTAAAGGCTGTTCTAGAAGGTTGCCGGTGGATATGGGTGGGAGATGGATTTTCCACCTCGAATGAAGTTGTCCTTCAAGGTTCTCTTCATTTGGCTCCCTACATACGCATCATACCTGTTGATTTAGCTGCATTCAGTGAATTATTTTTGGAGCTAGGTGTTCGGGAATACTTGCGGCCGTCTGATTATGCAGAAATATTATATAGAATGGCCACCAAGAAGGGTACTGTTCCTCTTGACCCTCAGGAAATAAGTGCAGCTACATTAATTGCACAACACCTCGCTGAAGCTCGCATTTTTGAAGACAAAACCGACATATACCTTCCAGATGTATCAGGGAGACTACTTAAGGCGACAGATTTAGTCTACAATGACGCACCATGGTTGCTTGATGCTGAAGGTTCTGATAATTTATTTGGAAATGCAGCTCTATCTTTGGGTGCTAAACAGGCTGTTCATAAATTTGTTCATGGCAATATTTCTCATGATATTGCTGAAAAGCTTGGGGTACGCTCCTTCAGAAGGATTTTGCTTGCAGAGAGTGCTGATTCGGTGAATTTGAGTTTATCTGGAGCTGCTGAGGCATTTGGGCAGCATGAAGCTTTGACAACCAGGCTTAGACATATACTTGAAATGTATGCTGATGGGCCAGCAGTTCTTTTTGAGTTGGTGCAAAATGCTGAGGATGCAGGAGCTTCAAATGTCACCTTCTTATTGGATAAATCTCATTATGGGAGTTCGTCTCTTCTTTCACCTGAAATGGGAGAATGGCAGGGCCCAGCTTTGTATTGTTTTAACGACTCTGTTTTCAGTTCACACGATCTCTATGCTATTTCCCGCATAGGCCAGGAGAGTAAACTAGAGAAACCATTTGCAATTGGAAGATTTGGGCTTGGATTTAACTGTGTTTATCACTTTACTGATGTTCCAACTTTTGTTTCAGGAGAAAATATAGTCATGTTTGATCCTCATGCCTGTAATTTGCCTGGAGTTTCACCGAGCCACCCCGGTCTCCGGATTAAATTTTTGGGGAAAAAGATTTTGGAACAGTTTCCTGATCAGTTTTTGCCATTTTTACATTTTGGATGTGATCTACAAAATCCATTTCCTGGCACTCTCTTCCGTTTTGCCCTTAGGACTGATAAAGCTGCCTCTAGAAGCCAAATAAAGAGAGAAGCGTATTCACCGGCTGATGTACTGTCATTGTTTTCTTCCTTTTCTGAGGCTGTTTCTACAACTCTACTCTTTCTGCGTAATGTAAAGACTATATCCATTTTTGTGAAAGAAGGGCCTAATACCAAAATGAAATTGATACACCGTGTTTGCAAGGATTGTGTTACTGAGCCTGAACTTATAAAGGGTCCATTTCATGACATCTTTAGTTCAATGTATGAGAACCAACTTAGGTTGAGTAAGGATCAGTTCCTTGACAAGCTGAGCAAATCCATCCATGGAGATATACCTTGGAAGTCTCAGAAGCTTTTGGTGTCTGAGCAGAACGAATCCGACTGTAGGTCATATTTGTGGTTAACAAGCGAATGCCTTGCTGGTTTCAAACGGACTAATAAATTCGCATCCTTTGGCAAGAAGTTTTGCAAGTTTGTTCCTTGGGCCTGTGTATCTACACCTATCAACTCTATTGAGATAAAGAAAAAAGAATTGTCTGAGGAAATTATGGATGAGAATTATCCCAGTACTGCTGAAGTTGTTGAGCAACTCTTAGCTTCTACTCGAGGTAAATCTTACTTTGAGGGTCGTGCTTTTTGCTTTTTACCTCTTCCCATAAGTACTGGTCTCCCGGTTCACATAAATGCGTACTTTGAGTTGTCATCAAACCGAAGGGATATATGGTTTGGCGATGACATGACAGGGGATGGGAAAATGCGGTCGGACTGGAACATGTACCTGCTTGAAGAAGTTGTTGCACCTGCTTATGCTCATCTCCTTGAGACAGCTGGACTGGAATTTGGCCCAAGCGATTTATTCTTTTCCTTTTGGCCTACAACAACAGGATTTTGTGAACCTTGGACCTCACTGGTGCGTAAGCTCTACCAATATTTTTCCGAGGGTGGTCTACGTGTGTTGTACACAAAAACCCGAGGAGGACAGTGGATTTCGACCAAGCAAGCCATACTTCCAGATCACAGTTTCGCCAAATCTTGGGAACTTTCAGAAGCACTATCTGATGCGGGTTTACCTCTGGCCAGTGTTCCGAAAGAGATCGTTGACAAATTTATGGAATTCTGTCCGTCGCTCCACTTTCTTACTCCTCATTTACTACGAACCCTCTTGATCAGGAGGAAGCGCGAATTCAGAGATCGAAATGCAATGATTTTAACCCTTGAATATTGCTTCCTTGATCTTCAAAATCCAGTTCAATCCAAAAGTTACTTTGGATTACCTTTGATCCCACTTTCAAGTGGTGCATTTGCAAAACTAGAAGAGAGAGGGTTCGGTGAACAAATTTATGTCACGAGGGGAGATGGATATGACCTCCTAAAGGATTCAATTTCTTATCTCTTGGTAGACTGTGAGGTTTCCGACCATCTTTACCATAAGTTTTGTGCTCTGGCTGATAGCGGAGATTTTAATTTATATTTTCTGACATGTCAACTTCTCGAAAAAATACTTGTAAGGCTAATTCCGGTTGATTGGCATCATGCGAAACAGGTGGTTTGGGTTCCTGGCTTTCATGGTCATCCCACTTTGGAATGGGTAAGACTGTTATGGAGTTATCTGAGATCATCTTGCAATGATCTTTCACTGTTTTCTGAGTGGCCGATTTTGCCAGTTGAATATAATCTTCTCATTCAACTTGTTGAGAATTCTAATGTAATCAGAGATGGCGGATGGAGTGAAAACATGTTGACAATGTTACAAAGAGCAGGATGTCAAATACTAAGGCGTGATATCCCAATTGAACATGAACAGCTGCATCTTTATGTGCAGCCCTCAACAGCAATAGGTATTCTAAATGCATTGCTGGCAGTTGCCGGTAAGCCAGATGAAATTGAGAAGCTCTTTGGTGATTCTCCGGATGGCGGGTTACATGAACTTAGAAGTTTTATTCTCCAATCGAAGTGGTTTTCTGATGGTTCAATGGGCAGTACTCATGTCAGCATAGTTAAGCACATTCCGATGTTTGTGGCATATAAGAGTAGAAGACTCGTATCTTTAAGTACTTTCAAATGGCTTAAACCAGAGTCCATACCTGATGATCTGTTAAATGATGATTTTGTGAAACTGGACTCGGAGAAAGAAAGAAAAATACTGGAAGAATTTGTAGGTCTTAAAGAACCATCGAAGGTAGATTTCTACAAAGATTATATACTCCATCGCATGTCGGAGTTCATTTCTCAGGAGGGTTTTCTCTTTCGCATTTTGTGTGATATTAGATTCTTGATTGAGGAGGATAGCACTTGCATATCAGTTCTATCAAGAACTCCATTCGTTCAAACGTCAGATGGAATTTGGAAAGAGCCATTCAGGTCTGTTCCAGAATTTGCTTTAATGGTTAATAACTTTATGAGACTTAGAATAGCATTTTTTTATTTTTTTTGTGTCCATACTGACTTGTTCAATCATGCATCTGATGGCTTCTATTACAGGCTTTACGATCCTCGTGTTTCTGAACTGAAAATGTTTCTCCATGAGGAAGCCTTTTTCCCATCAAAGGAGTTCTCTGACCCTGATATCCTGGAAACATTAGTCACCCTTGGGCTTAAACAGACTTTGGGTGCTATTGGTTTATGCGATTGTGCCAGATCAGTTTCAATGTTGTATGAATCAGGGAACTCTGATGCATTAGTACTTGCAGGGAGGTTGCTTTCTTGTTTGGATGCATTATCATTGAAGTTGCGTGCGGAAGAGGGAGAACGGTTTGCTGATACTGAATCTCTGGAAAATCAACTTAATGGAAATGAAGAAAAGAATCCTGTTTACGGTTCTCCAGACCTCAGTTCCGGTTCTCCAGACCTCAATTCGAATGCTTTGGACCTTAATTCACTACTCAACTACTTGGTTGATGACACGAGGGGAGAAGGGTTTTGGTCAGATCTGCAGTCCATCAGCTGGTGTCTTGTATATTCTGAACCACCAGTTCAGGGGCTTCCATGGTTAGGCTCAGGCCATAAAATAGCAGCACCAGTTACAACCAGACCGAAGTCACAGATGTGGATTGTTTCATCCAAGTTTCATATATTGAATGGCGAATGTTCTGAGTACCTGCAGCACAAGCTTGGTTGGATGGATCCTCTGGATGTGAATATGTTGTTGACACAATTAGTGGGGCTATGCAATGGTTACAATGAGAACAGGTTGCATTATGATGCAGAACTGAAAATTCAGATACCATGTATCTATTCGCAGTTGCAAAATTTTGTTAACACAGATCATATGCCATTTCTTAAATCTTCCTTAGATGGTGTGAAATGGGTTTGGATTGGAGATGATTTTGTGGCCCCAGATGTGCTTGCATTTTATTCACCTGTGAAATATAGCCCCTACTTATATGTGGTACCATCTGAGCTATCATTGTTCCAAGATTTGCTTTTGGCATTGGGCGTCAGATGTAATTTTGATGTTTCTGACTATCTGAATGTTTTGAGAAGGTTGCAAAATGATGTAAAATATGGGACTTTATCAACCGATCAGTTAAATTTTGTTCAATGCGTCCTAGAGACCATTTCAGATAAATGCATGGATGGGTCAGGACAAGAATATCTTACTGGACTTTTGATTCCCGATTCTTCTGGAGTGCTCACAGCTGCCGGTGATCTTGTATATAATGATGCACCATGGATGGAGACCAATGCTCTCATTGGAAAACGTTTTGTGCATTCCTCTATTAGCTATGACCTTGCCAGCAGATTGGGAATACAGTCTGTTCGGTCGCTTTCTTTAGTCAGTAAAGAGTTCACCAAAGATTTTCCGTGCATGGAGTATAACAAAATATCCGAGCTGCTGGAATCACATGGCGACTATGAGTTTCTTCTCTTTGACTTGCTTGAATTAGCTGATTGTTGCAAAGCCAGAAAGCTTCACTTAATCTTTGACAAGCGAGAACATCCACATCAGACTCTACTGCAACACAATCTTGGTAAGTAATTGTGGATTTGTACATTGACACGTCTATCCAAAGATGTTTAGATAATAGACTGGCATATTATTGTTTAGGTCTCTAGTGGCTTGGGTGCTTTATCATTATGTGATTCTGAACTGGTCATCTATGGTTTATTGGGTATGCCAGTTTCAGTGGATCCTTTAAATCTTGGCATCTGGTGCTTTAATAGCTTATTTGACTGTAATTCCCCAACATATTATTGGTTATGGTTTTCTCTCATATTGTGCTGATGCCTATATTTATGTTCTTTTACCTATGCAGCTGAATTTCAGGGGCCTGCTCTGGTGGCAGTTCTGGAGGGAACCAGATTAAGTGGAGATGAGATTGCTAGCCTCCAGTTTCTTCCACCATGGAGTCTGAGGGGTGATACTCTCAACTATGGCTTGGGATTGCTGAGTTGTTTCTCCATCAGTGATCTGCCGTCAGTGATATCTGATGGTTATTTGTATATTTTAGATCCTCGTGGTGTAGCACTTGCCACGCCTTCAACTCGTTCTCCTTGTGCTAAAGTTTTTCCTCTGAGAGGTATGCCTGAACAGACTGTAATGCTAATCATTTTTGTCTTGCTTCAATGATATTTTTCAATCAGTTGATGAGATGACACTTTTGACAAATACAATAACTGGCTCAATGTTCTTGTATGAGTAACTGTTCTGTTGTTTCGTTAATACTTTACATTCATTTTCTGTTAATCGTTTTGTGTTCTTTGTGATATCTTTATTTTGGAGTCCTTGGAGTAAACATCTTATAGTTTAACACTATTTTATTTCTATTGCTCCATTTCTATTTTATATAGTTGATCAGTAATGCCACTAGGTAATGGAGATTTCATATTATAAGGAACTGTGTATCGTTAGATGTGGTATTTTATTTTCTTTGTTAGTCTACAGTTCTATTATCACTTGTAATGGTTCAAGTGGTGACAACATTTTGCCTAGTCTTCTGTCATAGGTCTTTATGCTTACTTCTTATTTTTGCGTTTGCATTTCTTAGAGAAATGTCAATTTGATGTCTCCGCTACTTTTCTGTTGCATTGGCTGTTCTAGTCATATGAGAAGCCACTACATAAAACGGCTCTGTGTAGTGTCTAATCTAATTTGCAATATCAGGGGCCATCCATTTTGTTTGAGTTGCAGTCCTGAGAACTTGTAGTTGTGCACATGATGCTTTACACTGTTATTATTTTTGCCATTGTAGCAACTTGTATACTGAGGCTATGCCGGTGCTGACTGCTGAGTATTGCACAGCAGTTGTTTTTTCACTACAGGGTCAAATCTAATCAATGTGCATTTTATGAGTACCTCAATGATTTTGTGTATCTTTGTCCAGAACTCCGGTTCTTTTGTTCCCTGTGTCAGTCAGATGAATTTTTTATTCGACATTACTACAATTCTGTGTCAGAAACAGGGTACACGCTTATTAATCGAATATTTGAATGTAAGTAATTGAAAAGAGAAAGTGAAAATGTCCGATTTTAGGTTCTTATTTTAAGCATTTGTCTGGTGTTGTTCAACGAGTAGTTGGTGACCGATCTTCTAATATCAGGTACAAATTTGATGGCACACTTTTCTGATCAGTTCAGTCCAATGCTGATTGACGAAAATATGCCATGGTCATCAGCTGATTCCATGATCATCCGTATGCCTCTTTCGTCAAAATGCTTAGATGGAGATGCCATTGGTTTGACTAGGATGACACCATTATTTAACAAGTTCATGGAGCATGCTCCTAAAATAATACTATATTTGAAGTCAGTTCTGCAGGTACTCTCTGTCTCTCTCTGTATTGACAATGTTGGATACTCTTTTAAATGGCTAAAGGAATTCTTTCGCGCATAAAGGAATTATTTAAAAAAAATCTGAAAACCAGCTTAAGAAAACATGTCTGACCAACCAGAATAGAACTTCATCCGATACAATTTTAATGTTTTCAGCAACAGCAGTATCCCTGTCACAAGGCCATACGTACTGATATAAAAAAGACAGTGAAAAGTAAAAATAGAAGCTGTTGTCTATTTAAAGTAGCATCTGTGGATGGTTATCCTAATGGTTTAGCGACTGAATATTCAACTAGCAAATATCAATTGAATTATAGTTTTCGTTGGAAAAAAAAATTGAATTATAGTTTTATATTCCTTCAATTAAAATAATAAAAAATGTTTCCTTAATTTGAGAATTAACTCAATTTAAAATATTGAGGTAGAGAAAAAATTATACTAAATAAAATTAATTATCTTTCAATTGCCTTTACGAAATGATCATCATAAATGATATTAGAAGTAATAAACTATCATTTTTCAAAGAGGATGACAGTAAAATAACAAATGGTAAAAACTATCCAGAAAACAATAACACTATCAATAACCATTTTAGATGATACTAAGACGCTATTAATATGGTCGAATTAAAATATATGTTGAAGCATTCAACAAAATGAAAAACAAAAAAGAGATAAAATTGCAATACTTATCCAATGATTCGGGACACATGATAATTTTGACAAGTATCGTTTACAATTTTAGAAAATACCCACGAACTGGACTTATTTCAAAATGTTACCTTAATTAACAAGATTTCCAACAAACAACATTAAGATTAATCTAAAGAATGAAGATTTTTACTCCAATTTTTCATTTATTATCATTACTTTCATATGTTATAAATCATGCAAAAAAAATTGAATAAACTATATAAATATAAAAAATTATAATTCAAAATAATAATTAAAAAACAATGCATTGTTGCACGTGCACTTTACTATAGCAACACTGAAACATATAAGAACAAATAATGCAATTTTGTGAACTAGAGTTATATTTGGATGGGGAAACCTCTTATGTACATTGTAATTTTACACATCCATTTCACTGGATCCCGGAAACTACAATAATTTCTTACTTTTTCTTTTGGTGTGTGTGTAAACATACCGACATAGAATTTCATGATCACACTGACTTCTCTGGAATTGAAAAGACAGTTTACATGAACATGGTCTTCCCCATGAAAAGTTGATTTAGGAACAATGTTGTTAACATTAACTTTTGGGAGTTTGATGGTGGGAAAATGATTAAAAATATCCTATTGAAACATTGGTTATGAGTTAAATTCTTAAATCATGTATGCCTAGATAGATACATATACATGTACATGTATAATGGTGGGATTTAGAGTAATGTGCAAATGAATGTTTTATAACAGATTAAATGGCAGAAGAGGAATAAGTAAGAAAGAAAATAATTTTTTTTTTTTACTATTTCATTTATGGTATTTATGTGTTACTGTTTGATTGTCCATTGCAAATGGAGCTGGAAGAGTCATTGTTGATAATTCTCCTGGCATAGTGCTAATAATCGACTAGATCAAAATGGCTCAATTAAATTCTAGTGCTTCTTCTATTAGTGAAGTTTCTAGAAAAAAAAAAAAATATCAAACGGCGCAATGCACCTTGGGTCGCTACGGAAACAGCCTCCTTGTATAATTACAAGGGTAAGGTCTGCATACACCTGACCCCCCCAAACCCCAACCTGTTGGGAATATACTGGGTATGTTGTTGTATGTGTTACTGTTTGAATAAATAAAGTGGAACTTGGTTTTCTTCTATTGTTGAAAGATATTTGTGAATATTTACCAAGTTCCCTTGAGATGTTAGCTCTTCGTAATGACAAATGCATGTGGTTCAATAGGGTTATGGTATAATGCTTTTAATTTTCTGGTAAATCGAATTACTATGATCCTTTAATAATATTTTATGGTTTTAAGAAATACATGCCATTTATGGAATTTATCTGGAGAGCATAATAAAGGAGTTGCTGCAAATATCTTTATTAAGTTCAATAGTTATCTTAAAGCTAGAGTCAATTTGATCAGTAATTTCACTTACAACTTTCTATTGAATGCAGGGTTAGATATTTTCATGACACTGAAGAATGAGTTATTTGTAATTGCAGTTTCGGTTATTAACATTTTAAAAAAGATAGAGTTTCTGTTGATTGTTAACTAGTCCTCCCTTGTACAGGTGTCTTTGTCAACATGGGAGGATGGAAGCCTAGAACCCTGCCTAGATTATTCAGTTGAAGTTGATCCTTTGTCCGCTGGCGTCAGAAACCCATTTTCAGAAAAGAAGTGGAAGAAATTTCAACTATCCAGTATATTTGGCAACTCTGCTGCTGCCATCAAATTGCATGTATTGGACTTGAACTTGATTAAGGCGGGGACTAGATTCATTGATCGATGGCTTGTTGCGCTCAGCATGGGTTCTGGTCAAACTAGAAATATGGCACTAGATAGGTATGCCAGGGAATGAAACGGAAATTATTTTGATTTACAGTACTTTCTAACTTAATTGAAAATGAGTTCGAGAAACTAAAACAGCAGTCAGTTATCAACTATTTGATATAGTTGTTTGAGTGTGATTTTGTGTTTTGCTTTTACCCGTCTGCTTTACTTAGAGAGCATAGAGCCCTTAATTCATTAAATTGAGACTAATGGATATTTGTAGATGGTTTTTGTTTTTTAATACTTGGTATATCATTGTGAGGAGTAATCCTTTGTGAGTGATGAATGAGTTAATGACTGAATGAAATGAATGAAATAAAACTTTAGATAGGTATAGAAATGAAATAATTTTATGTTTTGAAGTACTGAGGGAGTTTATAAATGTGAAAGCAAGCAATAGAAATGTGTGTTTGTTCCTGAATTAGGATCTATGTTCAAAATTGTATACATTTTATAATTTCTAAACTTACTAGTGGTCAACTTCTAATATTTGAGCCAAATATTATATTAATCTTTAGATTTATAGGTGATCTCAATAGATCGATGTTTGTTGGAAGTGCTATTTTTTATTAATTAGGTCCATTCAGTAGTCATTTGTCTCACAGTGTAATTAGAATTATGTGTGAATAGTGATTTGGTGAGTGATTTATTTGGGGTCATGTACACAACAACAACAACAACAACAACAACAACAACAACATACCCAGTATATTCCCAACAGGTTGGGGTCATGTACACAGTTGACTGGAATTATAGGTTTCAATTATTTTATGTGGAATTATAGGAAACACAAATTGTCATTTCAATTGAAGATTTTCAAACATGGTTGCAATATGATTATGGATATCGTCCTTTGATCTTATTCTGGTAAAAATAGATAAAAATGTTCAGTTTGGGAAATTGTTTTGTTTCTTTTGGGTGAACCTAACATTCAGGAGTCAAGACCTGTTAATTTGTATAGTATATATATTGATTGTATATGCTGTATTTTGTTGAGGTATGATCTAAAGGTCTGGCTTCGTTGAGTTCGGTTTTGGGGGCATTGGAAATTAGTTCGTTTCTGTTCTCTGAAAGGGTGGACTTATAGTGTATACTGAATTTTAAGTGCTGGTCATGGGGACGTGTGATCTGTTTGTCCCTTGTAGAGAGGGAATACTTCTTTAGTGTACTTTTCTGGAATTTCTGAGTAAAACAATAACAAGAAACCTATGAAGGACTGCTAGAGTATCTATGCATACATGAACTACAATTTACATTTTACAGGTCTCACGTAGTGCGCTCTACAGAAGTATGTCTTTCTTGTTCCTTTTTTATATGTTTTGGACAGGTCCTCACATGAGAGCTTTCTGGTGCATGATAGTTATCTTACCAAACTAATTATTATTTGTGCGCACAGGCGGTATCTTGCTTACAACCTTACACCAGTTGCTGGAGTTGCTGCACATATATCACGAAACGGTCATCCTGCTGAAAATCATCCATCAAACTCTATCATGTCCCCTCTACCTCTGTCAAGCAGTATAAACATGCCAGTAACGGTGGTTGGATGTTTCTTAGTGCGCAATAATCGGGGACGTTACCTTTTCAAGTACCAAGACGGGAAAGCTGGTCAGGAGGTAGCGATTGATGCTGGGAGCCAGTTGATTGAAGCTTGGAATAGGGAGTTGATGTCCTGTGTTCGTGACTCTTATATTAAGTTGATATTTGAGATGCAAAAGTTACAGAGAGATCCTCTGACTTCTGTTCTGGATCCAAATTTACGCCGTTCCCTAAGTGTAGTTTTGAGCGCTTATGGGGATGAAATATACTCTTTTTGGCCTAGGTCGGACAGGAGAGCCCTGCCCAGGCAACCTACAAATGACAATTATCCAACTTCCGTGAAGCTTCTTGGAGAAGACTGGGAATGCCTTATTGAACATGTTGTTAGGCCACTATATGCTCGCCTTGTTGAGCTTCCTGTGTGGCATTTGTATTCTGGAAAATTAGTTAAGGCTGCGGATGGTATGTTTCTTTCACAACCTGGAACTGGAGTCGGGGACAACTTGCTACCAGCTACTGTTTGTGATTTTGTCAAGGAACATTATCCTGTTTTTTCAGTCCCGTGGGAACTGGTTACCGAAATTCAAGCTGTGGGCATTACTGTAAGAGAAATCAAACCTAAGATGGTTCGAGATCTTCTTCGGGCTTCATCGCCATCTTTGGGTAGCTGGTCAATTGATACCTATGTGGATGTCCTTGAGTACTGCTTATCTGATATCCAACTTCTGGTCTCACCTGGATTTGATGAACTTCGTACAAGGGACTTTAATAATCCTGATTTTGGTTCTCAAAGTGAAGAGCATAACCATTCTTTTGTTGCATCAGGCATCAACTCAAATAGGCATGACATGTTTTCCTCTGCCTCCTCCGTCAATTCTGGAGGAGATGCGGTTGAAATGATGACTAACTTTGGGAAGGCGCTGTTTGATTTTGGCCGTGGAGTTGTGGAAGATATAAGTCGGGCAGGAGGTTCGTCATCTCTGAGCGGAGGTAGCAGTTATGGATCATGTAGAAGTGAGGACCAGATACTGGTTCATTTGGCTTCTGAAATCAAAGGTTTACCTTGTTTAACTGCAAAGAATAGTCTCATTAAGTTGGGGTTTACTGAAGCTTGGGTTGGGAAAAGAGAGGAGCAACACCTGCTTACTTCTTTAGCAGGAAAGTTCATTCATCCAGAAGTGCTGGAGAGGCCAGTCCTGCAACAAATCTTCTCTCAGTGCTCTATCAAATCAGTCTTAAAACTGGAAGCTTTCTCTCTTCGATTGCTTGCGCGCCATATGAGATATGTTTTTCCTGAAAACTGGACAAGTGATGTAATTGACTCAAAAAGTGTTCCCTGGTTTTCGTGGAAGGAGTCTGCAAGTTCTGGTGGAAACGCAGATCCTTCTCCTGAGTGGATTAAACTTTTTTGGAGGATCTTTGGTAGCTCATCAGAAGACATCTCTCTGTTTTCTGATTGGCCACTTGTTCCTGCCTTTCTTGGTCGCCCAATCTTATGCCGTGTGCGAGAGCGTCATCTTGTTTTTGTTCCACCCCAAATTAGCCATTTGGATTCTTTTAGTGCTAAATCTGCAGTAGGTCCATCTGAAGTTGGTCAACCTGAATTTTCTTCCGAGTCTTATGAGGTTCAATCGTACTTGTTGTCATTTGAATTTATAAAGGAAAAGTACCCTTGGTTATTTTCAGTTCTTAATCAATACAATATTCCAATCTTTGATGTTAATTACATGGATTGTGCTCTTCCAACCAAGTGTTTACCGGCAGATGGGCAGTCGCTAGGGCAAATCGTAGCATGCAAACTCGTGGCAGCCAAACGAGCTGGATATTTTCCTCATCTCCCCTCTTTTCAGTCTTCTGATCGAGATGGGCTCCTCAGTTTATTTGCTGGTGATTTCTCTTCCGCTAACAGTTACGGAAGCGAAGAGCTAGAAGTTCTGCACGATCTTCCTATTTATAGAACAGCTCTGGGGACATATACCACACTGAGAACCCAGGATCTGTGCATGATCTCTTCAAACACATTTCTCAAGCCATCTGATGAACGGTGTCTGTCACACACTACAAATTCTACTGAAGGCTCTTTACTTCGTGCACTTGGAATCCCTGAATTCCATGATAAGCAGATTCTTGTAAAATTTGGATTGCCTGGATATGAACACAAACCTCAGCTTGAGCAGGAGGATATATTGATTTACCTGTACACAAACTGGAATGATCTTCAGTCCGATTCATCTGTAATAGAGGTGCTTAGAAATACCAATTTTGTGAAAACAGCTGATGAACACTATGAAATCCTGTGTAAACCCAAAGATCTACTTGATCCAGGTGATGCAATATTGACGTCTGTTTTTTCTGGAGAGAGGAAGAAATTTCCAGGAGAGAGATTCATTTCCGAGGGTTGGCTTCAGATCTTGAGGAAAACGGGTCTCCGAACTTCGTCCGAAGCAGATGTTATTCTTGAGTGTGCTAAGAGAGTGGAGTATCTTGGAGGTGAATACAAGAAGCAGGCAGAAGTACACGATGATGTTAACTTATGGAACCCACAAAATGAGGTATCTTTTGAGATTTGGCTGTTGGCTGAAACTTTGCTCAAAACAGTCTTTTCTAACTTCGCGATACTATACGGAAGCAACTTCTGCAATCTCCTTGGCAAGATTGCTTGTGTTCCAGCTGAAAGGGGATTTCCAAATATTGGTGGTAGAAGAAATGGGAGTAGAGTTCTCTGTTCGTATTCTGAAGCTATAGTGATGAAAGATTGGTCT